AGTAGTAGTAGTAGTAGTAGTAGTAGTAGAAGAAGCAGTAGTAGTAGTAGTAGTAGTAGTAGTAGTAGTAGTGGTCGTAGTGGTCGTAGTAGTAGTAGTAGTAGTAGTAGTAGTAGTAGTAGTAGTAGTAGTAGTAGTAGTAGTAGTAGTAGTAGTAGTAGTAGTAGTTAAGTAGTAGTAGTAGTAGTAGTAGTAGTAGTAGTAGTAGTAGTAGTAGTAGTAGTAGTAGTAGTAGTAGTAGTATTAGTAGTAGTAGTAGTAGTAGTAGTCGTAGTATGGTAGTAGTAGTAGTAGTAGTAGTAGCAGCAGTACTAGTAGTAGTAGTAGTAGTAGTAGTAGTAGTAGTAGTAGTAGTAGTAGTAGTAGTAGTAGTATTAGTAGTAGTAGTAAGCCGTAGCCGTAGCCGTAGCGTGGTCGTAGTCGTAGTTAGTCGTAGTAGTTATTAGTAGTAGTAGTAGTATAGTTAGTAGTAGTAGTAGTAGTAGATAGTATTGTCGGAGGAGTAGTAAGTCGTAGTAGGAGTGGTAGTAGTAGTAGTAGTGGTAGTAGTAGTAGTAGTCGTAGTAGTAGTAGTCGTCGTCGTCGTAGTAGTAGTAGTAGTAGTCGTAGTAGTAGTAGTAGTAGTAGTAGTAGTAGTAGTAGTAGTAGTAGTAGTAGTAGTAGTAGTAGTAGTAGTGGTAGTAGTAGTAGTAGTGGTAGTAGTGGTTGTAGTAGTCGTAGTAGTCGTAGTAGTCGTAGCAGTCGTAGTAGTCGTAGTAGTTGTAGTTGTAGTAGTAGTAGCCGTAGTAGTAGTAGTAGTAGTAGTAGTAGTAGTAGTAGTAGTAGTAGTAGTAAGTTTAGTAGTAGGAGTAGGAGGAGCAGTAGTAGAAGTAGTAGTAGTAGTAGTAGTAGTAGTAGTAGTAGTAGTAGTAGTAGTAGTAGTAGTAGTAGTAGTAGTGGTAGTAGTCGTAATCGCAGTCGTAGTCGTAGACGTAGCCGTAGCCGTAGTCGTAGTCGTAGTAGTAGTAGTAGTAGTAGTAGTAGTAGTAGTAGTAGTTGTTGTTGTTGTTGTTGCTGTTGTACAACTTCCTAGTATAACACCCTTTGTACAACTTCCGAGTACAAGTAGGAGCGTTAGGTGATTGTTCGGAGAGATTGTCGCCATCGTTGATTCGAGTGTGTTTGCCGCCTGGGATGCCGTCGTCGCCACTTTTTTGTCACCCTCCTTGTTTCGCGTGCTCCCGTCGCCAGTTTTCGTCCCCCCCCCTCCCCCCCCCAGTGTTGATGCCCGTGCACGTTGTCGTCGTTCTTTTCCTGGCGGGGGCCTTGGCGTTGGTGCGAGCCGCATGGTAGCGTTTCGTCTGCAACCTCATCAGCACGACCCTGAAGCTTTCCAACCGGCGAGGATGGAGGGTTATGCTTGTTCCCATTGGGGGCCTCGCTTTGGCGACGTGCATATGCGGTTTAAAAGCGCACAGCAGATGCAGCCACAAGGATGTAGAGCGGCTCGGTTTCAAAATGAGTTTCTCTCTCTCTCTCTCTCTCCTCAGCGGCGCGCGCATTCGTACAGCGACAAGAATAGAGGACGGTAGCTTTTCAATATAAGGCGTTCGCATTAGCGCCGCGTGCATCCGTGGAAAAGGCTTGCAACCGTAACCAAGATGAAGGCAGGTACCTTTTCAAAGTGAGGCTCTCGCCATCAAGCTTTGGACACTTCGTTTAAAAGCGTGCAACAGCTACAAGGATGGATGACGGTTCGTTGGTACCTGTTTCAAAATGTGGCTCTCGCTTTCGCGACGCACTCGCACGTTGCAAAAGCTGGCAAAGCTTACAAGGATGTCAGGCGGTAGCTTTTCAAAATGGGGCGCTCGCAGTAGCGCCGCCCGCATTCGTCTGTAAGTTTTTGCAAGGGCGACTGTGAACTATAACGGAGAGGTACCTTTTCAACTCGCCGCAGTGCCGCACACATTCGTTTCAAGAAATTGATGCCGCCATACAAGAATGGGGTTCCGATCGTTTTCAACACGGGGCTCACTCTCTGAAGGTTCTAGATTATGACAACCAGAAAGTTGTACATATGTAGCAGCTGTGCAGGCGGAATGTGGCTCGAATGGGGCTATCGCTGGAGGCGTCTCCGATTCAGTGACCAGACGCGTAACTGCGTCAAATCGTTACACGGATGCCGGGGGTCCCTTTTCAGAGCGGGTTGTCGGTGGACGCTTCGTTGAATGTTAAGATATTCCTTTTTCGTATTCGTTGTAGTGCGCAGGAAGTATGGAAGGCAGCTCGTATTCAAAACGGGGCTCTCGCCTGAATGGCAGGCCCCTGGCGCACCCGCCTTAGAGGTGGGAGCTTGTTTTGCAGCACGGTGTACGCATCCTGCGTTTACGCTGGTCCTCCTCCCTCCCCCGGGCCGCGCTTTGCTCAGGGCGATGCCTGCTTCTGGCTGGCTCTGTAGTCGGTAGTTTGCCTGCGTTCGAGTTCGCTGTCGCTCGCTCGTGAGCTGCTTCGCTCGTCGAGTTGTGCGCGTTTCGGTGCGCTCTCCTCCCCCTCCGAGGGCCCCCCCCCCGCAGGACCTGCTGCGCATGTTCGAGGAGTCGGCGCTCTCAGACGTGGAGGCGGCTCGCTTTCCCCTTCATCTTCCCTCCATCCATCCCCCCCCCTCCTCCTCTGGACCCCCCCGTCCGATTCAAACAGTCGTTTATTTCTCCTCTTCCTCCTCCCCTGCGCCCCTCCTTTCTAAGACCCACCTCCCACATGCAAAAGCCTTCCACGTCCCTCGTCCTGCTCTTCTTGAAGCAGGTAGAACTCTGTCACGCTCCGCCTTTTCCCAGCGGGTTGACGAGAGATAGCTGTCATTGGCAGAGGCATCGGAGTATGTCGGAGATTATCTTAAGTTCGGGAAAGTTGTCGCAAGTGTTCATAATCTTGTGGGAATCGGGACTCCTTCAGCAGCTGGTGCTCGATGAGAGCCTGACAACGGCGGCACGACTGCCCCAATTGGCATTCTGAGAGCTAGGAGGAGAGGAGGGACAGGTGGGTCGACGAATAAACGGACATCGGGTCCAAGAAGAAGAAATCATCGCCCCAGAGGTGCGCAAGTATGCTCATGCATCGTTGACTCACTGCATGGCTAGCAAGGAATACCACATGTTACTCGTCGCAAGTGTGAGCGCCCAACACCCCACAATAACCAATGATATTGCAATGTTTGCCGCCAGTCGGCAGTCGTTCCTCCTTGCCCCAGTGGCTGGAATGCGATTGAAAAGACTCCTTGCAGGGTTACACGTCGAGGCTGACTGGATTTAATGGTGGTAGCACCAAAGTTGTCCCCATTATCCCTAGCAGCCAGTCTCATTGGAGACCATGTGCGCCCTATCATTCCCAGTGGCCGTGCTGTGTTGTAAAATTCATCGCCCAGACCGGCCAGCTATAGGTGCAGCCAAAACGTTTGGAGTGAGGACCCATCTGGTTCGGGAGGGGCCTTCTCGGGGTCCTTCCTCTGGTCAGGCAGGCCCAGAGCAGAGCCAAGTCGCTCTGCGAGCGACCCGAGGGCGCTCCTGGAGCACTCTCAGAGCGCTCCAGAACGGCCGCGGCACCTGATGCATCCTCCAAGCCTGCCGGCTCTCAGACGTGTCCGATGTATCTCGGCCCGATGTTCTGTTTGTCCCAGCTTCGTCTTATCTGGTTGCCTTCGGCCAGGCCCACAAGAGGCCTCTCGGCGGCTTTTTGGGGCAGGTTGTTCGGGCACCCTCTTTCTGACATGCACACCGACCTTTGCCAGCCCTGTCCCGCACAGAGGATCGGAAGCCTCCAAAGCTGCCTCTGTGCTGGAGACGGTTTCCACCAGTTCTGGAGGGAAATCTTTCCTCCATGGTGGAGCTCGACCCCTAAGAACGGAGGCTCTCGACCTTATGGGTGAGCCTATGATATAGATGCGTGCAGCCAGGACGGCTCCCATGGGGGGGAGTGTTGGTGCCGATGGTACAATACGTACGCGGGGGGTCCAGACCTCCCCAGATCTCCTCCGTCTTGAAAGGAGGCACGCAGGTTTGGGCCCGCACGACCCTCGAGAACGGCTCGGGACGAATAATTAGCCGGCCCCGGGGAACGGGTCGGGATTTACGGGGACCCCGCGTTGAACAATCAAAGCAATGCAGCGGATGTCTGGGCCCGGAGCCACGACGAAATCTGGGTCACCCGAGAGAAGCCACGGAGAGGGCCGCGCTCCGCGCGTCGCGGCCTGGGCCGCCGGGCTGTTCTTCTCCAGGGCAGCGGCGCGAAGGCGCGAAGGTGCCCGCGCGTCGTGGGGCGCGAGGCTGAGCGGCTCGGAGAGGTGGCTGCGACCCTGCGTGCCTCTGGGCCTCCTGGGTCTTGGCATCGCTCGGACGTGTGCATTTTTCCTTTGGCGGGGACCATCGAGGAGCATCCTTGATCATGTGGCGGAAAAACCACGCACGAAACCGAAAAAAACACAGGGAGTGGACGTCCGAGCGATGGCCAGAGATGGGGTCGGAGTAGATGGGGTCGGAGGGTCGCGCCGCATCGCCGATGCAGCGCCGAGGCGGCTCGATGTGCAGCCCGATTCGCGTCACGTCGGCGTCGCCGATGCATCGCCAACGTCGACGGTGCATCGCCGGTGCATCGCCGATGCATCGCCGATGCATCGACGATGCATCGCCGATGTATCGGCGATGCGGCGCGATCCTCCAACCCCATCTACGTACTCCGACCCCATCCAGGAGGCCTCCAGTGCCGCCATGCACGGGGTCGGGAGGCCGCCTCGTGCGGGCCGCCGGGGCTGTCAAGGGAGCGGCTCGGGGCGGAGAGAGCGGGGTTGCGCGGGGAGCTGGTGGCGGAGCCGCAGGGTGCCAGCGAGGGGGCCGAGGGCTCGGGGAGGGGGGGGGGGCGCACGCGGGCGTCACGAGGGAGGCGCTCCCAAGCGCTCCCAAGCGCTCCCAGGCGCTCCCAGGCGCTTCAGCCGCTCCCAAGCGCTCCCAGGCGCTCCCTGGCGCTCCCAGGCGCTCCCAAGCGCTCCCAGGTGCTCCCAAGCGCTCCCAGGCGCTCCCAGCAAATCGCAGCAGTCGTGCTCTTCCCCCAGAGTCTGCGACTCGTGCCCGGATCGCGGGCCCCGGGGCCATCCAAGGAAAGTGCCCAGAGCGAGAGGCAGGCCCTTTCGATGGGTTGAATAGTTCGGGGGGCCAAGTCGCGAAGCAAGCAAGGCATGGCGTTGGATGTCTGGACAAAAAGGCTGCTATGTGCCTTCGACGCCACGGGGCTCGGATAAGTGCAGCGATTGGTCTAGCGGACTGGTTCCGACATATTGTATTCAATGTTGTCATTCTCACTTCGGAAAACTCAGATGTCCGTCGCCCGATTGAATCCTCTATGTGGCACACCTGTGCTAACAGTGCCCGCACTCCTGTGCGAATGCTTTTAGACCCTTCGCCGTGATTCATACATCGCAAGAAACGACAACAATCATCCATCCATCTTGACGCTTCCTCTGCCGTTCTATTCCCACCCAGGGAGCCGTCAGACATTGAATTACGCACCATCGGCATCGAGCAGTAATTTGAAACGAGCAAGCCATGTGGCATATCATCCCATAAGTGTTCCGCAGGGCTTTACCCGCACATAAAGCAAGATCAACCAATGTGTTGGGTAGCTGCTCCGTTGTTTCATGTGCTGGCCGGTTCAATGACAGTCTTTTTGGTCTTGGCCGGTACGTATCTACCGTTCCGCGTCGTCTTTTCCAGCCCCAGGCAGTCATCCCTGCTCTGGCCCTCTCCGTTCTATTGTTCACTGAACGTCCAGCCTCTTTTTTTCCCGGCTGTCCTGTCAGTGCAATGCAGAGCTCAGCGATTCAGAATGAGCAGCAGCGGGTGCGCCCCTTGGCGGGGGAGAGCAGGAGAGAGCAGCATCATCAGACCAATAGACCCGGATTTTCCTGTGGCTGGCAGCGGGCCCGAGGAGTACTGGAGATGCACCCGGGGTTGTATCCTGAAACGCGGGGAAGGAGTAGCAAGTGAGTAGTGGAAAAGAGAGTGGGTCGAGCGTGCAGGCATTCTCGCGCAAATTGCCCACGCGAGGTCGTGCGTGAGCGCCTTCTCTTCCACAAAGGCGTGCCGCGTTGGCGGCCCGCGTAAGCCGCCGCGTAATGCCGCCACCGTGTCCCCGTGCGTAAAACCGAATTTATTCCGTGGCCCGATTCAGGAGCAACGTTTGGGACGTGCGGTGCCTCGGGGCCAGCCTTCTGCCCACAGCGCTTTGGTCACATAGTGGGAGCCCGACTGCGAGTGGACAGGTTATTTGTACTTGTGCTCCTGGTGCCGGGTGCGTGTTCAAGGCGCACAGGCTTATCCTGGCTGCGCGCTCACCAGTCTTCAAGGCGGCAGGGGGGGACGGGGGTTTGCAAGCACGCTGGTGTGTCGCTGGCGCTTGTGCAGACCCTGACCTCTGGCGACGCGAAAAAAGAAAGTTGGTGCATGATGTGGTTTCGCAGGTCTCGGCATCTTGGGTGCGTTTCCCGGCCTTGTGGCCGTCAGCAGAGACGACTCAGGATGAAAAGTTGCCCGCCCAGGGGTAGGGTCGAGAATTTTTGTGGCCACAATTTGGAAAAATCGAGTCGCTGGAAGCTTCGGGACGACCGCGCGCCGATGCGGCGAAGATCGAGGGTCGTTATGTTACGCTACTTCGGCGGCAGCCGCGCCTGTACGTGTTTGAACCCACAAGGATGGATGGCATTGCAGCATTATTTTGGGAACCGTGCCATGCAGCCGCGGTTGCAGGTAAGAATGTGCGATAATCTGCGCGGCGATAGCGTCGGCAACATTAAGATGGTGTCCTTTGGGTTGCGTGCGTTGTGAACATGTGTTCGTCATGCGCATGAAATGTCAGCCCACTTCCGATCCACCATTGGCGCACGCAGTCTTGGAGCCGCTTTTGCAGAATTCTGCTTGCTTGTTGTTCACGCAGGTTTTGACCCATGCTGGCATGACAATGCAAAAATGACAGCCTTGACATTGTACCGCTTCCTGGTATGGGTACGGGCGCAGGCAATGTTCTTGACCGGCATGCGAGAGAAGCGCATCGGGAAAGTGGTTATCGAGGATGTTTCTCCAGAGGTGGGGGCTTGGGAAGGCGCGGACAGGCGACAGTTCATAGGACTCCACGCACACAGGCACGTCGGGCCTCAAGTCTGCTGAGCATGAGGTCTCTGCAGGGAGCTCGTGGGGACAGTCGCGCGTGGTCTTGGTCGGAGCACGAAGGGGTTGGGTCAAAGTCGGGCTAGAGGCGGAGGAGGCGGAGACTCGGCCTCGCGCTGCACGTCCACCCTGGGCACGCACGCTGTCCGGTTCGCCGACACCCGCGCTGCGTTGCCTCCAGCGATATCGTGCAGCCTCTTTGACGAGCTTGGGCGTACGACGCACCCCGCGGGAGGAGAAGTCAGGAGAAGGATGAGTTTCGGGGGCCGGCTCTGGGGGAGCCGCGTACGCACAAGAAGGGTGCACGTGCCGGCTGTGCGCATGAGTGCCTTCTCAGTGTCTCGAGCGCGGGTTGCCCTCGGAAGAGGCTTGTGTCCTCTTAGGTGTCGTCTGCAATCAGTCCCGACCGTACGTCCTTCTGGGCGCACTTGCGGCGCTCCCTACGCGCCTGCATCCCACGAGCGGTCGCGAGTGAGCAGGTCCTGCTCCCTCCAAGTGGCACTGGTGCGCGTCCTCCTCTCCCTCTGCGGTCAAAGTCATCGGGAGGGGTGCGAGGCCTCGTCGAGGCAGCCCCTGCACCCTGGCCTCTTCGTCCTCAGCTTGTGTGGCCGGTCGTGTGCCGCTGGAGGTGTTCCAGCGTGGGCGCCCGCAGGACGTGCGCCCTCGACCGTTGCATCTTTCCGATGTCTTTGATTGTGCAGGATGTTCTTGGAAAAGTTGTGTCGTGATTTCCAGCTCCCAATCTACTTCAAATGCCGGTTTACGGTAGGCTCGTGGCGCGTCGATGCGGCGGCGATTATGGCGCGGGAATTCCTTGTGGAACGCCGCCAGTGACCAAGGATCCAACATCATCAAACGATCGACGCGATTGGGAAGCCGCGATTGGTCACATTCGAACGATCACGCGGCATCAGAAGCCAAAGCCGAATTCGTCACGACACGAACCCGCCATGTTGCAATCATCGGTGAATTTCTACCTGAGCCGCCTGCTGCTTCTGGAGGGCCGGAACTCCGTGTGTCCACCATCTCTTTCCAAACGGATTGTCAGAGCCCCGAATCATCAGGGGTAACTCGGGTCAGGGATAACTCGGGTTCGTTTTTCGGGAATCCAAGCCCGAGTTACCCCGGACCCGAGTTACCCCGGATAACTCGGGCGCCCAAACTCGTACGAACGTCCCTCGGCAATTTGGTAAGCTGGCGGTGCGCGGCACGACTGCCGCAGCCAGGCGACGCCTCGGACGGGCGGCGACGAGCGAGGCAGGCTCGGCCTCTCGGACTTGGAAGCGTCCTCCGCGGTCTTCGCCTCGCTGCCTCGCTGGGAGGGGTAGCGAGAAAAGGAGCCGACCCGATCCGATCTATCCAATTCGATGCCGATTTCGGCAGCTCGATCCGATTCGATTCCGATGTTCCGTCGATCCGATGCGGCCCGATGCTCGCATGGTGTTGTTGTGCACCTCGGTGCAGCAGATCCGATTCGATTTCGACTCTGTGCCGATGCATTCCGATCACACGCACAATCCGATTCGATCCGAATTCACGATTCGATGCTGACCGATCTTGCGAGAATCGTTGCATGCAGTTGGCTTCGGCCTCACCACCAGGCCACACTCCCTCGATAGCCTGCCCGTTCCCGACGGCCCGAGGAGTCTTGAAAGCCAGCTACACACGCAGTTGGTTCGTGTCTCCCGCATCCAGCTGATCAGCCCTTCTTCAACAAACAACACACTGCATAAACTTAAATTTTCGGAGGTCCGCTCGGATCTCTTGGATCGGTGCTGGGTTCCCCCGGCGGCGCAGGTGGCGCGCTCCGCGCGCCAGGGAGGGAGGGCCTGTGCCGATCCAAGAACTGAGCGCGGACCTCTGACAGTTTATGTTTGTGTTTGTTTGTGTCATGTGTTGTTTCCCGACTTCTATCCTAAGCATGGATGTGTTGGTTGTTCCTTTTCTGATCTCTCCTGGTCTTGAACATCTGCTGTACTTGTCTCATCCCCTTGTTCGTCCACCTCGGCTATCCTCTTCTGCTTCTCCCCTCCCTCTCCCCAGTCCTCCAGCGTCGCGGGCGGGCAAGCAGTAGCAAGCATGAAGCAGCCAAACAAAAAGTCGTGGCTCCCCACAGTTTCGGCGTCGAGGGGGCTTTACTTCAGGCTCCAGGACCCGCGGAAAAGCGATCCGCGGCGCAACTCTGGTGCTGGGGATGCGGTCGAGAGTTCCAGGGCCAATGCTGTAAAAAAAGGTCACCGCGACGGAGGTCTGGATCCTTGCATCACACTTCCTTGTCGCGGTGGGGAGGAGGAGGAGGAGGACGAGGAGGAGGAGGAGGAGGAGGAGGGAGGAGGAGGAGAGAGGAGGAGGGAGTCAAGTGTGAGGCACTAAGACAGGTGAAGATGTGCGTAGCGAGTGCGCCATACGAAGATGCCCTGGCGGGGAGGCAATCAAATGCATGTTAGACTACGCCTATAAAGACGACTGTCCAGATCTTGACGAGGCCAGTGGCGATGGGGATAGAGTGATGACAACAATTGTCAGAGTGGCCAGGAAGGTAGAATAGGAACAGTGAAATATTCAGGCGGCGATAGCGGTCGAGGCGCCTGGGAGCAGTTCCAGCGCAAGCCAGATCGAAAGGACAATAGCGCAGGATGAGACTAGTCCGCATGATCACAGTTTGGGGGCGATTGCAAAGAAATGCCAAATCGTCATAAGAGCCAGTAGGCTCACCATTGTTCTCTCTGGATGCCTCCATCAGTATGTAGGCGGATGCCAAATTCAAAGATACGCCGCGTGAGCAATTCATGGTGCCAGGGGTACAGCTGCCAATTGTTTGAGGAGGATGAAGTATGCGTATTTCTCTGGGGCGCGCGACATCCACAGCCCTCCAAAGGAGCGCGCGTGTTGAGTGTTGGGACGCGGCGATTGGCCCAAATCTATACAGACTCGTGTAGCGTAGGGCGTGGCCCTTTCTGTTTATACATATATATATATATATATACAATAGATATGTATACATATACATGTATATATATGTATATCCTATTATATATCTATATATTATTGCGAAGGCCTTACGGCTGGTGCCGCCGACCCTGAGGTTGGGGAGAAGGGCGCGGAGCATGGGGAGGAATATGAAGAGGGGAACAGGAGGAAGAGGCGGATGAGGAGGAGTAGGAGAACAGGGGGGGAATGAATTGGAGGAGAGTGAGGCAAGCTGGGGCCGGGACCTGGGCCAGGGCCGGGGCCGGAGCGGGCCGGCAACCAGGGCCAGGGCCGGGGCCGAGGCTAGGGCTGGGGCCGGGGCCAGGGCCAGGGCCGGGCCGGGGCCGGCCAAGGCCAGGGCCAGGGCGGGGCCGAGGCCGGGATTGGGTCCGGGGCCGGCCGGCGGGACCGGGGCCAGAGCGGGGAGTTGTGGGGGCTTTTTATTGAAGAAACAATCACATTACCCACGGGACCTTCCCCGGGACCACCCCCCGGGACTACCCCCCGGGAACCCCCCCCCGGGGCCCACCCCAGGACCCCTTTTCCCCCGCCCCGGGAATGGATCCTTAAGGGAAAGGCTTCGCCTTCACCTGCATGTGAACGATGTTATCTGGCGTACTGGCTGGAGTGGGTTGCTTCGCCTTCACCTCCATGTCAACGATGTTACGTGGCGTAGTGGCTGGAGTGGATTGCTGCAGGAGGGATGGCGGTGACCACGCGGACGAAAGCGTTTCACACACGCCGACAGGGTCGGCGGATTTTGATAGGGCCGGGGAGCCCACACCCCAGAGCACCCCCCCCAAACGAATTTCGCCTCTTGGGGCCTATCTTGCGCCTTGCTGTGGCCATCCTGGGGTCGTCTTGACGCCCCCCGAGTCAAGCGATAGTGTGCAAGCGAGAAGGCCGAAAACATTTTTTACCTAACAGCGAAGACTGATAGGTTTCTAGTTGACTCAAAAGAGCTCACAGATCACTCCACAGGGGGGTCCGGGCAGGTGTTGGGGAGTTGCCGGGCGGCAGGGTGCCGGGCTCGTTTTTCACCAACAGTCACACACTTCGTGCTCTTCGACTTCCCAGAACTCCATTCCCAGGCCACATTCTGAATACCCGGATGCAACAGTCATACACTTCGTGCTCTTCGAGATCCCAGAACGCCATTCCCGGGCCACATTTAGAATAACCGGATGCAACAGTCACACACTTCGTGCTCTTCGAGTTCCCAGAACTCCATTCCCGGGCCACATTCTGGAGGGCCGGATGCAACAGTCACACACTTCGTGCTCTTCGAGTTCCCAGAATTCCATTCCCGGGCCACATTTTGGATGCCCGGAGCCAACTGTAGGCCACTTCGTGCTCTTCGAGTTCCCAGAACTCCATTCCCGGGCCACATTTTGAATGCCCGGAGCCAACTGTAGGCCACTTCGTGCTCTTCGAGTTCCCAGAACTCCATTCCCGGGCCACATTTTGAATGCCCGTAGCCAACTGTAGGCAACTTCGTGCTCTTCGACTTCCCAGAACTCCCATTCCTGGGCCACATTTTCAGCACGGGCAAGAGCACGACGAGGAGGAGGACGAGCAAGACCAGGAGGACGAGGACGAGCAGGAGCAGGACGAGGAGCAGGAGGAGCAGGAGAAGAAGGACGAGCAGGAGGAGGAGGAGGACGAGCAGGAGGAGGAGGACGACCAGGAGGAGGAGGACGACCAGGAAGGAGGAGGAGGAGGAGGAGGAGGGGAGGGGGAGGAGTACCAGGAGGAGGAGGAGGAGGAGGAGGAGGAGGAGGAAGAGGAGGAGGAGGAGGAGGAGGACGAGGACGAGGAGGAGGAGGAGGAGGGGGGGGGAGAGTACCAGGAGGAGGAGAACGAGGACCACCAGGAGGAGGAGGAGGAGGAGGAGGAGGAGGAGGAGGAGGAGAGAACACCAGGAGGAGGAGGACGAGCAAGACGAGGAGGACGAGAACGAGGACGACCAGGGAGGAGGAGGAGGAGGAGGAGGAGGGGAGGGGGAGGACTACCAGGAGGAGGAGGAGGAGGAGGAGGAGGAGGAAGAGGAGGAGGAGGACGAGGAGGAGGAGGAGGAGGAGGACGAGGAGGAGGAGGGGGGGGGAGAGCACCAGGAGGAGGAGAACGAGGACCACCAGGAGGAGGAGGAGGAGGAGGAGGAGGAGGAGGAGGAGGAGGAGGAGGAGGAGGAGGAGGAGGAGGAGAGGAGGAGGAGGAGGAGGAGGAGGAGGAGGAGGAGGAGGAGGAGGAGGAGGAGGAGGAGGAGCAGGAGGAGGAGGAGGAGGAGGAGGAGGCAGGCTGAGGCTGAGGCTGTGACTGCGACTGCCGTTGCCGCTGCGACTGTCATCGCGAATGCGACTACGACTGCGAGAACAGCAGAATTCGACAACTGGATTTTCATCTGAATCTTAAGGGGAATGCTTTCAGATATGCTTCTACACATCGCTGTTAGGTTGCTTTGCCGGGATAATTTACTGCGTTTTCTCTGCTTTTGCCACTTTCCGGGCCCTGTTGCGCCAGCCTTGGGCCTCCTTTGCAGCTCGCCTGGGGCTTCACCTGAACCCGTCTTGGAGGCATCTGGACCCCTCAAGAGCCAATCGGAAGCGACAAGGCGAGAAGACCAAAAACTTCGCTTTTCCATTGATTTTCCTACATTTGTCCATCTCTGGGCCCCCCTCTCCGGGCCATATAGGGCCGGGGAGCGCCCCCCCCCACCCCACCCCGCCCTCCCCCCAAAGACTTTCGAATCCTCGGGCCTGTCTTGCGCCTCCGTGTGGCCGTCCTGGGGTGGTCTGGGCGCCCCCCGAGTCAACCAGAAGTGAAAAAGCGAGAAGGTCGAAAGCATTGCTTTTCTATTGCGTTTCCTCTGCTTTTCCCACTCTCTGGGCTCTGTTGCGCCAGCCTTGGACCTCTTTGGGGCTCGTCAGGGGACTCAGTTGGAGACGTCTTGGGGCTGTCTCGACGCTTCAAGAGCCAATCGGAAGCGACAAGGCGAGAAGACCAAAAACTGTATTTTTCCAACGATTTCCTTACATTTGTTCACTGTTGGGCCCCACTCTCCGGGCCGAGTTGCGCCATCTCCAGGCCCTGTTGCGCCAGCCTGGACGCCCCCCGAGCCGATCGGAAGCGAAAAGGCGAGAAGACCGAAAACACTGTTTTTCCAATGGTTTTTTAATAGATGTTCGAACCTCCGGGCCCTCCAGGGCCAGTCTGTGTCCTCTTTGGGCAGTCCTGGGATTATTTTGATGCTTCAGAAGCCACTCGGAAGCGACAAGGCGAGAAGGCCAAATTGATTCCCCTATGGATTTTCACAAATTCTTCATTATTTGGGCCCTCTTCGGCCAGCCTTGGGCCTCTGTGGGCCTCGGCTTGCGCCTCTCTGAGGCCATCCTGGGGCTATCTTGACGCCTCTCGAGCCGATCGTACATGAAAAAGCGAGAAGACCGAAAACAATGTTTTTCCAATGAGTGTTCTATGATTTCCGACTCTCCGGGCCTTGAGGCTCGTCTGGGGACTCATTCGGAGCCGTCCTGGGGCTACCTTGACGCCTAAAAGACCGATGGTAAGCGAAATGCGAGAAGGCAAAAAACATGGATTCCCATTGACTTTCATTGATGTTTTATTTTTGGGGCCTTCTAGGGCCAGCCATGAGCCTCTTTGGGGCTCGTCTGGGGACTCACTTGGAGCCGTCCTGAAGCTATTTTGACGCCTCCCGAGCCGACCGGAAGCGAAAAGGTGGGAAGGCCAAAAACATTGTTTTTCCAAAGGTTCTCATTGACTTGCAACTATTTAATCGCTTCGCTCATTCCGCCGGCCCTGGAGCGCTATTTGGGGCCTCTTGGGGCCGTTTTGGGAGCTTCTTGGGGGCTTCTTGGGAGCGTCTTGGGACTCCTTGGCGGCGTATTGGGCTCCCCTGGGGCCTCATGGGGGGCTCTTGGGGGCCCCTTGGGGCGGGAGGGGGGGGTAGTCGTTGGCAGCTCCATCCTCGGAGGCCACGATCCACGTGAGGGGTGGCGAAAAATTAGCCTCCCCCCTGGGGATCGCCCGGGGGTCAGCTGGGGATCGGCCAGGGTATTTTTCGTCCGGGGCCCCCCAGGGGCCGCTCCGCGCGCGCGAACTAGAAATATTGTTAAGTAGTTACCGGAGATCTTAGCACGCCTCTGGCCCGTTGGGCCGGCGAATTTGGGCCTTCTTCGGCCAGCCTTGGACCTCTGTGGGGCTCGGTTCGCGCCTCTTTCGAGCCATCCTGGGGCTATCTTGACGCCTCCCGAGCCGATCGGAAACGAAAAGACGAGAGAGAAGGCCGAAAACATCGTTTGCCAATGACTCGTAGAGCTTCCCTACGAGCGTTAGCGGCGAAGCTAGAAGAGTAATTCCGGCGCGCTGGGGGGCTAGTTGGCCAAAAAATCTCGACGGATGTTTTTTTTCCTGTTTAAATTGAATTTCTCGAAATTCAACAATTCGTTTGAGCTCTAGTATTTCTTTCCACCCATATTCGATCTTATTCCCGCTCGC